ACACCCCGCGTAAGTGAGGTACGCTCCGCGTACTGAGTCAACCACCCCTATGGTGGTCAATGTGAGGCGAAGTATGCCCAGCGTACGCCTTCTTTTTGGGTTTTGGACTTTGGGCTTCGGGTATTGGGCCATCTGTTGGGCTTTGATACTTAGGCCCAAATGGACCATCTGGATAAGTATGTTTTGGGCTAAATAGAGGATGAAACCTTTGGATAAGGCCCAATAAGGGGTTTGGGCCCAAATTGGAAAACTGGGCCAATAATGGGCCTTGAAGTAATTGGGGCCTTTTGGATCAAAGATTTAGACTTGGGCCTTGGCCCATTTAGGGAACGGGTAAAGTGGACAATTACCCTATGTTTGGGCCCTTAGTCAAAAGTGGTATCCCAATTGTTGATTGGGTGTTTGTTTATTGTGATAGTTTGAGATTTTCCTTGAGTCAGCAGTCAGGGATTTCAGTGCAGCTTGACATTCGAGAGGTGAGTTTTCCTCACTATACTTGTGGGTCGAAGGCACCAATGTCGGCCTAGTGGATTGATATACTGTTATGCACGTTGCTATGTTGTTATAATCTGTTAGATCGGTATCCCGGTAGATAGGATAATGATATGCTTAGTGGTCTGTTGAATCTTTTTGATTGACTATAGACTGTTATATGATTATATGTTATGTGTACACATTATTGGTTGGTGGGTGAGGCTTCACTTCTTTGTGCGTAAGCCAATAGGTCGGGGCATTCCAACCCGATGGTTGAGGGCATGGGGTATTCCAACCCGATGGTTGATTGGACCCATAGTATGTTGGCATTCCAACCTGATGGTTGAGGGCATGGGGTATTCCAACCCTGTGGTTGATTGGGCTCATAGTATGTTGTTATTATATTTATGCTATTTGTTATGTATTGGTATTTTGGGGGAACTCACTAAGCTTTGGACTTACAGTTTTTGATTATGTTTCAGGTACCTCAGGATGATCGCAGGAAGGTGAAGGCTTGATTGTGCACCTGCTCGTATTTTGTGTTATGATTTATGGGAAAACTCTGATGTGAAACTTATTTTGAAAATGAATTGTAAACAATGATGGTTGTGGTTTGTTTTTAAAAGTTTAAATTTTTCAAAAAATTTATGGTTGTTACATTTTCTTTATAAAAATCTTTTTAGAAAACTTATTTTCTTTCAGAAAGATTACCATTTCTATAGTTTGAGTTCAGACACACCCGAGAGTGTATTCGAATCCCTCAAACAAAGGCTCTGATACCAACTTATAACGTCCCGAAAATCCAAGGTATAATTTTCATTTTAATAACACTTAAAACCATACAACGATTTGTTCCAAACCAAACAAAGTGATTATATTATTTAAACATAAGAGTAAAAACCATAAATAGCCAATACGGAAAACTCTGGAGGATGTTGTGCAGTCACGTCGGACCCTTCCCCTTCAAACCGAAAGTACCTGAAACCATAAACATAAAACTGTAAGCACAAAGCTTAGTGAGTTCCCCAAAATACCACATACCATACATATCATTGGACCTAGCCCGCACATTGGACCCAACCTATAATAATGTACCTAACCCTTCATAATCATTAGGCCCAACCCAACATACAAATGGGCCTATCCCTTCCTAATCAGTGAGCCCAGTCCATCATACAAATGGGCCTATCCTGTCATACCATGGGCCTAGCCCAACATACAATGGGCCTAGCCTAATATACAATGGGCCTAGCCCGACATACCACGGGACTAGCCCAACATACAAATGAAAGAGTCACAAAGAAAACTAGCATCCTACATAACATATCCTAGTGGCCCGACATTGGTGCATTCGACCCACAGGTACAGTGAGGAAAACTCACTTGAATCGAAGAACTCTGAAACACTTGCTACGATCCCTTTTTGCACTGCTTGATCCAAACCCTCCAGTTTGACCCAAAGTGAGGAAAACCTTAATCAACAGTCCAAAACCCTCCAGTTTGACCCAAAATCAAACTTAATCAACAGTCCAAAACCCTCCGGTCTGACCCAAAGTCAAACTTGGTAAAAAAGTCAACGGTTAACAGAAGTCAACAAAAGTCAAAGTCCAAGGCTGCTGAGTACGCCCATCGTACGCTGCCTGTCCCCACTCCTCCATTAAGCACTTTATCCATTAAGGCCTTTTGTCCAGAGCTCAGATCTAGACTCAGAACATCGACTTAAGTCATAAAGTTTCCACCTTTATGACTTTCCATGGCTATCCATAAAGACATAATAACTCTTGCATGGAAGGGATATAAGCACCAAGATCACATTTTATGGTTCCTAATAGCTCGATAATGGATAAAGTTTCCAACTTTATCCATTAGGATGGTCCAAACAACCCAGATCTAGTCTTAAAGTCTCAAAGGGACCAAAAGTGCATCTCTCTCAACTTAATCCATCAAGTCCAAGTCTCCATCCTTCAGATCTAAATCAATATGATGTTTAGATGGATAACATTTCCAACTTTATCCATAACAAGGTCACAAACTTTCAAGATCTAAAGTTTATGCACTAAAGTGACCAAAAGCTCATAACACCCAAAACTAGCTAGATCTAACAAATTCATCATCAAGATTCAATCTTTATACCTCCAGAAGAAAGATCAAGGTGAACAAGGTATGGATCTACAAGCTCCAATGCAACCAACACTTTTCCAATGAGCTCCTTATTCTCCAAGATGCACCAAGAACACTCCAAATCACTTAAAAAACACCTTCTTTTGCTCACAAGGCTTAAACTAGGGTTAGGGTTTCAAGGGAGGACGTTGGAGAGGTGGAGGCTGAGAATGGAAAGGGTTTAGGGAAGTTAAGGAGCTTAAATAGGGCTCAAAATCCTGAAATTGGGGTATAGGTTCTGATCGTGTACGCCCAACGTACTCCTGGTACGCCCATCGTACCTGGTTGAATCTCCGTGATCATCCTTGCCTAGTACGCCCAACGTACACCCTGTACGCCCAACGTACTAGGCTAAACCCAAACCCTCCTAACTTCTAACAGTCATAATTTCTTCGTTCCAACTCTGTTTTTGATGATTTTTATATCCACGGAAAGGTATTGAAGAGCCCCACAATATTGTCTAGATATCTTGGACTAAAAACTTCTCGAACAAAAATCCATATTTCATGCAAGACACCAACCTATAACTTTCCTTTTTCTACCCTTCGGCCCAAAACACAATTCAAAGTTTAAGATCTCACAACCATCATTGGCTCCTTGTAAAAGGTCTAAACATTACCTCCTTAAGGCCCAAAGCCTTTACACAATCGACTTCCAGCCCACGACCCTGAAATAAGAAATGACAGGAACCAGGATGTTATAGGGTCATTGCCCAGAATTAAGAAACGACTTAAAATAGGTTGTTACACCATGTGTGGCTAGTTACTTTATTTTGGTTGTATTGGGCTAAAACCTTGAATATTTGTGGGTTTTGAAGGATTCATGTTTGGTTATTATTTATCTCATGTTTATGATTCTTAGTTCATCATTCTTATGCTTATTTAATACTTTGATCAGGAGTTTGGTACTTGATGAGCAATTGTTGGTCTCTTTCTTTGATTTAGCAATGAATCATTGAATTTGCTTAGAACAAGAGATTTATGATGGTAGAAATCATCTATATCTTATGGATCATGACTCCTTTATGGTTGTGTAAGCATTGACATCCTCTTGGAATTGGGAATTCCTTTAATATTAAAGGCTAATCAATTTTCTTGAGTCCAATAGCTTCAATTAGATCATTGATTTTGATTAAGAAAGTGTGTTGTGGGCTTCCTCCACCTCTATACTACCTTTGAGGAATTTTGGCATATCATGCTTCATGATTGCTATAACCAATTTGGGTTGAATGATAAGCTTACATATTGAATCCTAATGATAGACAAACAAGTATTCAATATGTTTGATTGCCTTAGTTGACCAATTCTCTCTAAAATTTGAGCATCTCAACATCTTGCTTAATTGCATGCTTTTTAATTCTTCAAGTCTTTTAGTTTTCAAACAAATTACCCCCCCCCCTTTTAGTTTAATTCTAGTTGGTTAGTTTTATTTCACTTGTTCAATTGAATTGCATTGATAATTGAATACAATCATTTCCCCATGGATTGATCCCATTTTTACCATTATCTTACATTTTATTTGCAAGCAAAAGGGAGTAATTTGTTTGGTGTCTTGACATCTCATTGTTAATATTGTTTAAGACAGTTGAGATTATATATATATATATATATATATATTACAAATTATTATGTCAATGTTAATGTTAATAAAATAATTATTTTAAACAACAAATATTTTTCAATATTTTAGCAATATTTTTTAACCTGCGTAATTCACGAGCATTCTCCTTGCATATATATATATAATATATATATATATATATATATATATATGTATATATATATATATAAAGAGAGAGAGAGAGAGAAAAGATCAAGAACGAACTCCTTTTAAAGGAGCAAACCAACGAACTGTGCATTTCTTTCCCTCGATTTGAATCGCTTTCCTTACTTCGATCGATCCACCCCAGTCTCTTCTCTCTTAGAGATCCATAGCATGTTCTCTCCTTCTTTTCCAGCCTCTCCAATCGATCCCAATTATTCTCTTCCTCCTCTCTCAAACCGTATATCTAGGATCGAAGTCTGCTATTCAAAATTAAATCGCCAATCCCTTTATTTCCTTGCTCCCACAAAATCTGCAGGATTGATGGAGATCTGTTGCTCCAGTTCAAGGTAACATTTTTTTACCTAATTCTCTTTGATTTCAATTTAAAAGAAATGCATCAATCAAATGCATAAGTTTTTTTTTAAAAAAATTTCTTGAAACACCAAAGTCGACATACAACGATTTGATTCGTGATTGACTTCAATGGACTTTGAACAACAACCAAGAGAGAGAAACGACGGAGGTAGACGATGAAGTAAGCAAGCAAAGGGGAAACAAGGATCTGAAAATTGAACTGAAAAATTGAAGTTTTTGGAGCACCGAATGGATGGAGTAGCTGAAGGACTAAGGGAATTAGCGACTTTGCATGACAAAAATGGCGAAATTGTGAAATCAGCCAAGTGTTTTGAAGCCATTTGTCAAAACACTGTATCGTTTCTTCCCATTACCGAATTCAAAACTCATCTGAGAATCGCTATTATGCTCCTCAAGCACTCCCACAACGTTAATTATGCCAAATCTCACCTTGAACGATCCGTTAGTCAAATCTTCCCTCCTCCACTTAAATTAATTTAATATGCGTTGGTTCATGTTCAGTTTGCCACGCTTACGAAGTCTAATTTAGCTATGATGTTCTGAAAATTTCCGAACTTCATGAAGCTATGGACATTTATTTTTTTTAGTTTGTTGTACCGTTTTTAAACACAGAAAAACTTACTATGGTGCTAGCTTAGTTATCCTGTATTCACTAAAAATGGGTACCGCAGTTGGTACCTGGTTACTTATATTGAATTTAGGCAAGGATAAGGTGCAGTATTTAGCACTATGTTTTTTCCCATAATTCAACACAATGCATTAAGCAACACTTATTCTTTTGTAACACTTGAATCTTGGTATGTTTCATTATTGTCCTTTGTTTATTAAAAGTTGCACTTTTGGTCCTTGGGTAGTACGCGGGGCGTACCACATGGTACGCTTAGCGTACTAGTCGAGAAGCCAATACGCGGTGCGTACCACATGGTACGCTTAGCGTACTGTTGCGAGGCCATGGCGGGACTCCAGACACGTATGCGGGGCGTACATCTATGTACGCGGGGCGTACATGGGAATTAATGAAACCCCAATTAGTGGGGTTTGGACACTATATAATCATACTTATGGCTCATGAAACCCTCATTTCTCAGCCTCCACTGAGCTTATAGCCTCATTTCGAAACCCAAGACCTCTCAATTGTGTTTTAAGCTCATTGTTTTCATTTTGGTGTGTTTTTTTTTCATAATCTAGAATAAGGAGGTTGGCGCAAGGTTGTGGATCAAGGAAGAGCTCGTGGATCCTGATTCTCTACTCCATTTCCAGCTTGTTTGAGGTAAAAAGCTATGACCTTGTTCATTAGAAGCTTAGCTTTAGTTTATATTGGTTTTGGACCCTTTTGGCCCCACAAATGAGATCTAGTGGTTTGACACCATTCCAGGAGCTATGAGTTACCACTCTTGGTGTTTCTGAGGTTCAAAGTCCATAAAGTTGGCACCTTTAGGATTTAGAATCACCCATGCATGAGATTATGCCCATTTAGTGAAAGTAGAGTGTTATATCTTAAAGTTGGGTCCTTTTAGGGCATGCAATGTCACCAAGTCGGTGACTTTATGGTTCTAGACGCTTATTAAGGGCTGGATGTGTGGTTTGTACTTTTGGTCTTAAGCATTAAGTGCTTAAAGTGAGTTTTGTTTGAATGGCTGAGTACATTGGACGTACAAGTATGTATGTGCTGCGTACAAGCCAATTAGCATGTACGCTTAGCGTACAATTGAGTACGGCCCGCGTACTCAGTCTGTTGGGCTTTGCATTTTGGGCTTCAAGTTTGGGCCTTTCTATTGGGCTTAGGTGCTTGGCTTCTTGTTGGGCCATCTGATTGCAAGTGTTTTGGACTAAGAGAATTGGTGGGCTTTAGGGTAAGGCCCATGTAAGGGTTTGGGCCCAATTTGGAAAATTGGGCCAAGTATGGGCCTTGTCGGTTAGTTGGTTTTTGGGCCTTTTGGATTATAGGTTTGGCCCTAATTCTTGGCCCAAACTTGGTAAGGGGTAAAATGGTCTTTTACAATAATTTTGGACTGATAGTTATGGATTGGAATCTAGTTATTAATTGGATGTTATTTGGTATTGATAGCTCGGGGATTTGTTGGACAGCAGCCATATATATTTAGTCGTGTGATTTAGCAGTTCGAGGTGAGTTTCCTCACTGGATTTAGCGGGTATAAGCACCAATGTTGACCCATGATATGCTAGTTTAGGATGCTAGATTTTTGTGTGACTCTTGCATGGGTATGTACTGTTATGCTTACCGGGCGAGGCCCAATGATTAATCTGTCTGCTATTATCTGGTTATGCTTATATGAACTGTATGTTGGGCGGGGCCCATTATGCGAGTTAGCGCGAGACCCATTATACTCAGTGAGCGGGGCCCGTTATGTGAGTTAGGGCGAGGCCCGTTATACTCAGTGGGCGGGGGACGATCTGTGAGTTAGGGTCCGGCCCGTTACACTCATTGGGCGGGGCCCATTATATGTATGTTATGTATGGTGTGTGTTATTTTGGGGAACTCACTAAGCTTTATGCTTACGGTTTTCAGTTTATATTTCAGGTACTTCTGGTTCCAAGGGAAAGAGCTCGGGATGACAACATTGCACACACCACATAGTTCCGCTTTTGCGATTTACTTTGATTCGAGATGATGTTTGATACACTTATTTTATTTGGATTGTATTGATGATGTTTTTGGAATACTGCTTTTATTAAATTAAAAATGAAATTTTAGGGTCATATTTTTAGGACGTTTCATCTTTACAGCAACTACTCCTAAAGTCAGTCCTCTCATGCTAGCCCTAAACTGCAAACTAACACATGGTTGAAATTGAGCAGTTGCATTCTAGGTGTTTGATGAAATGCCTAAGTGAAACTATCAATCATGTTTTTCCCCCTATATCCAAAATAATTAAATAATGATCACTCTAAAGTATGCTTTGTGATATTACTATTATTGATGCTTAAGATCTTGCAGTTTTCATCCAGGGAAATCTGCTACAATTAAATATGGAACTGGTGTTATCTCTGATTTCTTTAGCCAATATTTTATAAGACTTGGTGATTTTACTATCAAGGAATAGGTAAAGACCAAAAATTAAGAAATTATGCTTTTTATTAGAATTTCTTCATTTTGACAATTACTGAATTACCCATTTTCAGGATTTCATAGAAGCAACCAAAGAGCCTGGAATCACTTTTGTTGCAGCAAAGTTTGATGGTATTCTTGGCTTTGGGTTTCAAGAAATCTCTGTTGGGGGTGCTCTTCCTATTTGGTACTTCATTCACTTTCCAAACTTTTTCTTAGAGTAAATTAGATTTTTGCTCCTAAGTCTGTTCAAAAGTTTTAGTTTTGGTTCCAGATACTTCTCTACTTCAATGTTGGTGCCTCTGTGAGTCTATTCAATTGTAAGAGGAAACTATTTGGGACCAAAACTGTAATTTTGAACAAACTCAGGGACCAAAATGTAATTTTTTTAATGTTTGATGATTGACTATATTAGGTACAACATGGTTGACCAAGATCATGTTTATGAACCTGTGTATTCATTTTGGCTTAATCGAAATACTAAAGATAATAAAGGAAGTGACCTTGTATTTGGTGATGTTGACACTAATCATTTCAGAGTTGCACACACTTATGTCCCTGTCACTCAAAAAGGATACTGGTCGGTTACTATTCATTATATTCATTTTCAATTTTTTTTTATATTTTTTTTATAAAAATTTATTACTAATTTAGTTGTTTTTCTTGTTATAGTTTGAAATGAATGATGTATTTATTAGTAATGAAACAATTGGTAATTTTGTGGCATTCTTTTTATCCTTTCTAATATTTAAATTGTGTTTTTATAGTTTCTGATTATCAAAATTTCTATTTTTTTTTAGGATTTTGCACCAATGGTTGTGCAACAATTGCTGATTCTAAAACCTCTTTGTTGGTTGGTCCAACAGTATGTATAGTTTACTATTTCTAGGGGTAAAATAGACATTTATACACATTCAGGCATGCATATTTTGTTGGCTAGAACCTCTTTTTTAGGTTGTTGTTACTAAACTCAATCAAACTATTGGTGCTCATGGATTAATGAGCCAAGAATGCAAGACTTTGGTCGAACAATATGGAAAGTCTATAATTGATATGCTCTTATCTGATGTACCTTTTTTTTAATTTTCATTTTTATACACAAAATTACAAAAAAAATTACCTGTTTAATTTCAATATATTGTAGGAAAAACCTAAGAAAATATGCTTCCAAATGAAGTTACGTATATTCGAAGACTCTCATGACACTAGGCCAATTTCACACTTCTTTTACAATTATATTTATTTTAGTTATTCATATTATTGTTATCTATAACATCAAAAATAACATTCAATTTCTTTTACAATTATAATTAAATCATGATCATCCTAAACTATCATTCACGTTTGAAGGTTCGTTCCAAATTAATTATAAAACTTAATGTAACATCAAACTAATGTTCTTATGTATTTAAATGTCTTATGCATACAGTTATTCATATGCATATGCATATACTTATTCATATGCATTTACTTTTTATTATGCATATGTACATATATATACTTATTATTATGCATATGTATATGCATATACTTATTATTATGCATATACATATATTATATACTTGTTGTTATGCATATGCACATACATAAGCATAATCATATGTAATTAATTGTCAAATGCATATACTTATTCTTATACATATGCATATGCATATGCATATATTTAAGTGCACATGATTATGCATTTGTATAAGTGCACATCTATATATATCCATGTATATGCATATGCATATACATAAGCAAAGGAAAGAAGAGAAAGGCCCTTGTGCATATATATATATATATATATATATATATATATACTAGTCGTGAACCCGCGCAAAGCAGCGACGACAAATTATTTCTTTCGGTGAATATTACTTTGCAACATATTACCTTGTTTATGAGAGAATATTGATTCTGGTAGATAGAAAATTGTTCTCTTTAGTTATAATAATAGATTTGATTCACTACTAATTATTCTTTTAATGTATATTTTCTTGTTCATTTTGGCGGATAATGAGTACTTTATGTTGATCGGTTAGTTTGCTTTATGAAACATGTCCTATTAAAAATAAGATACAATGTATTCACAAGTATTATTAAGCATTAGTTTCAATTCAACAATTCGATTTTTTCTTCCGATGGACAATGTATTCTATAATTTATTTGTCGCTTTTGTATATGTTGGTGTTGTCATATGTTGGATCCATTGTGTTGAAAATTGATCATTTCTAACTCAGGATAACATATTTTTCTTCATTGGTGTATATTTAGAAAAAAAAAACATTCAGAAGTAGTTTTCGGTCATCAACAAATAGATTTAGGTCAATGATTAGTCTCCTTTGTGTTAAAAATAAAATTATGTTGTTTTTAATTTAAAAAACATATTTTTTATTAAAAATAAAAATACGTAATGTTTGGTTAATAAAATTGTCGATTAACCATTAACTAACTATAAAATCCATACATCCTTCCTCTCTCGCATGAAAAAATGTAAGTATGGTTCTGTAATAGACAAAAAATTGAAATGAGGATGTTGTCATGGTCAGAAAACTAAAAAAAATCAGCATGTTATTATAAATAAATAAAGGAAAGTAATCTGGTATATCTGCATTAACCGAATTTAAGAGTGAGATGTTATAACTTGATATATTTTCTTGTAAATACTTTGATTTAATATGTGAAAGTTACCTGGTATGTACTGCATAGTTCTGACCAAGCTTCTCAAGTTCATCCATCACATAATATCTAATACATGGGCTGTCTTTAAAAAAACCAAAGCACCAAAATTAATTAAAAGCAGTAAAACCAAAATTGTTATAAGTTCTCTAGTCCATCCTACAAACAAATCTTAACTAATAGATTAAGCCAATGTTACATCTGATTCTTGACTAATAGATTAAGCCAATGTTACATCTGATTCTTGCTTGAGACCTTCAAATCCTAGATGTATCCAAGAGACTTGCTTATACATTCATGTAATCAGAAATAAGAAAAGGATTCAAACGAAAATGAAAACCAACCTACCGTTTTTCCTACATTCATGTAATTTGAACTTAAAATTTGTACAAGAGAGCAAAACCAGTATAAATTAGAAACATAAAATGATGCAGGAAATTGACAACTGAAATCCAAAATCCCCCGTTATAGGTGAAGAATTTTAGAAACTGTACCAACAATAAAAACCAATCAGAAACAACATAACCGAGATTATTGTACAGAATTAAAATTAGAGGTTTTATCGATAACTGAAAATGAGAAAAACTACAAGGAACCAAGTCTAGCTTTAAAGGAACCCATAATTTTTCATCGTCGTTTACAACATTTTGGAGCTATCTTGAATGGAGAGAAGGAATGCAACAAACAATTGATGGTTCGATAGAGGTGGTGACGATGGATAGTTAACAACGGTGATGGTGGACATCTGTGAGGTTTACCAAGTGGTGGTTAGCGGTTTGACCGCCATGAGTGATGGTTGTTGGTGGCGACACTAAAAAGGGTTGATGGTTGGTGATGACGACAATGAGGAGAGTGGGGATAGGGTTTTTAGAAGGGCTAGCGCGCGGTGTTTGTGATGAAGGACAAAGATAGCTTGGAATTGATATCAAGATTGAATGGTTGTGAAAGGAGCGTCAGAATTGAAGAGGCAACGATGGTGATATGGAATCGAGGGATCTACATATCCTCGACGGCGCTTCTAATTCTTGAAATACTTTAGTGCTACTGACTGCTTAGTGTGACTGAAGAGAGACGACGAAGATAATGAGGGTTGTAATTCTTGAAATCAGTTGAAGAGAGATATAGAGAATGTCGACCCAGAATGGAGAATGTAGATAACTTTTCCGAGATCTCAAGATTCAACATAGACTCCGGATTAAAGGGTTGGTTTAGTCAATATTTGTCAAACTGAGGAGGTAGAATAAAAAAGATTGGGTCAAAATTTTAAAAGAGATAAGATTTTCAAATTTTAATATTATTTTATTAGTAGTTACTTGTACTATTTAAAAAAAATAATATTATTATATTCAATCTATTTATAGAAATAATTAGATTTCTTTTATAAGATAGTAAAGATATATATATATATATATATATATATATATGCATATGGACATGCATTAGTACATATGGATGTGCATATGCATCTTAAGATGCATATACATATACATATGTTCATGCATATACATTTCATATGTATGTACATATGCATATATATGCACATATGATGCCTATGCATATTCTTATGCATATGCATATACCTATATATGTGCATATACTTATTCATATGCCCATCAGTACGCTTTCTTATGCTACATAGCATATACTTCCTTATTATGTATGTACATATACTTATTATTATGATATATACTTATTCTTATGCATATTATTAGATGTATATACTTATTATTATGCATATGCATATACATCTACTTGTTATACTGCATATATATATATATAATATATATATATATATATATATATATGCATATGCATATGTATATACTTATTCATATGCATATACATATACTTATGAATATGCATTTACTTATGAATATGTATATGACAAATACTTATTCTTATGCATATGCATATACATAAAAATCATATTTATTTAATTTCCTTATGCATATACATTTTCTTATGCATATGCATATGCGTATTTATATACTTATTCATATGCATAAGCATATAGTTATTCATGTGTATATGTATATGTTTACTCTTATGCATATAGAGGCGTTAAATTTTTTTTTTAATGTGCATGTGCATATGTACATGTTTTTAAAAAATGTGCATGTGCATAAGCACATGTTTTTTTAAAAATATGCATATAATGTATATATATATAATAATATATATATATATATATATATATATATATATATATATGAATATCCATTAAAAATACAATGTTTTTTAAAAAATTTCATTTTTTAAATATTAATTTCGAAATGTAAGAAATGTTTTTGGTTTTATTTTGAAAGCGCATTGCTGTTTTTGGCTCTATTTTGAAAGTCCATTGCTGTTTTTGGTTCTATTTTCAAAGTGTATTGCTATTTTTGGTTATATTTTGAAAGTGCATTGTTGTTTTTGGTTATATTTTAAAAGTTTATTGTTGTTTTTTGGTTCTATTTTCAAAGTGCATTGCTGTTTTTGGTTATATTTTGAAAGTGCATTGCTGTTTTTGGTTCTATTTTGAAAGTTCATTGCTGTTTTTGGTTCTATTTTGAAAGTCCATTGTTGATTTTGGTTCTATTTTCAAAGTGCATTGTTGGTTTTGGTTATATTTTGAAAGTGCATTACTGTTTTTGGTTCTATTTTAAAAGTTCATTGTCGTTTTTGGTTCTATTTTCAAAGTGCATTGCTGTTTTTTGTTATATTTTGAAAGTGCATTGTTGTTTTTGGTTCTATTTAAAAAGTTCATTGTTGTTTTGGAAAATGCATTTTGTAATGCATATACACAAAAAAATATGAATATGCATTAAAATTTTATTTTTTTGAAAAATTCTTTTTCCAAATATAAATTTCGAAATTTCAGGAATATTTTCGTAAATTTTAAAAAATAAAAATAAAAAATTTTAAAAATTTTCAAATATATGAAAATTTGCCTTATATTTCGAAAATAAGATTTAAAAAAAGAATTTTTTCAAAAAATGCATTTTATATCATATTTTTTTTATGCATACATATATTTTCAAAAAATATGCATATCTACAAGCATATAATTTTTTTTCATTTTTTTTGCACTCCTTTTTGATATATGTGTTAAAATGCACATGTGAAATTTGGTAACTAAATTCATTGTAGATAAAAAAAGTTTGTTATTTCTCTCCTTTAGATTAGTTCACCACTAATCTTCTCTCTCTCTCTCTCTCTCTCTCTCTATATATATATTATATATTATAGATATATAGGGAAGGGGTTTTATTTGGAAAACAAAAAACCCTAAAATCATAAACATGCATAAAATGCATAAAAAAATACCTAGACATTACAAACTTTTTTTTGAATTTTTTTATCAAAAAAATCGCAGCCCTTTTGACAATTTCGCTGAAAAAAAAAAAATAAAAATTCAATTTTTTTTTTTTTTTTGTAAAAAA